GATATTACTATTATATGAATTGAAATAATGTTAATCAAATTTTATATGTTATCTGTTCTAGTAAATTTTTTATTTTTTTTAAGCAATAATTGTATGCTAAAGCGGACTATGTCGAGAAAGAAAATAATATATAAAAAAAGATACAATAAATGCATGTGAGTATAACACATTATTAAATATATCCTAGTATAATATATCAAACAAATAGATACAAGGAAAATTTCAAATCTAATATCTTAGGTTTCATACACCCATCATATAGCATGATAGAAATAAGATTAAATATATGTGAAAAATCTCTGATAAAATTTAAAAATATTTCTATACATAACTAATTAAATGATGAAAAAGATTATATACTAATTGAAATTACTTTAATTAGTACATAAAAAATGTTTTAATATAAATAAATAAATATATATATATATGAAGCACACCAATAACAAATATGGACAATGAACAGTTAAAGGCATTTAATATTTTAAATAGAAACTATAATAGAATTATGTAATTATATCAAATAATATCACTTATTATTACACAAAAATTCAAAACATAATCATTACATTGTTTAGAATCCTATTTATATTTATCATGTTTTGGGTTATCTATGTAATTATCTAATTTATATTTGTATATCAAATTTAGAGAAAATTTCAAATACTACATATGAATTTTATTGAAACGTTTTGCTTAATATATTTTTTAGTTAATAAGAACACATGTAAGCAGAAAAATATATCAGTGCAAATATTTGAATTGTGAGTAAAATAGTACTTTTTCCAAAATAAATTTTTCAGTTTTGTAGTATTATTAAAATGAACTAAAAAAAAATTGGAAAATATACATATCTCTTTACAAAGAAATTAATTAAGTATAATATATATATATATTAGCCTCCTTTTTGGAACATATTGTGTCAAAGTATCACATTAGCTTGTTCGAATTTCAATATTATTTTTATAATTAAGAACAAATTGAAGAATATAATAAATTAAACAAAAAATTTTCATTAATAAACAAATAATGACAAAGTAAAATCAATATAAATCAATTACATTTATTTTTTTTTTAAATAAATTTTTTTGACACATATTTATATTAATTATTTACACATTATATTTTCCTATTTTTTTTCTATGAATAACTTACACATAATCACTAGATGTTTATATTTTTCATCATATAATAATCAAGATCATAATGATAAGATTTTTTGATTCATCTCATTAGCATTATTGTTTTTTATACGAATATAAATTTTTTTTTAATTTATATATATTTATATATTTTTTTAAAGAGGAAATTATTAATGTTTTCATGATGGGTTAATATCATTTAGTTGGAACCACAACAGTTTTATCTCCATATATTTTAATGTTCTTATAGGCAAAAATATATTATAATTTTCATTATAAAAATTTGTCTTATTTTAATATTATATTTTATTGTCCCTATAAACATTGTCATCTTCTTAATAATATTAATGTTATGAGAACACTATATATATATTGGCCTGCATTTTTATTATAATTAACTAATATATATATAAACAATGTAAATAAATATATCTTATTTTACACGTATGCATATTAATATATTCAATACATATTTACATATGTTTGATAATAAATTAAAAAAGTATTTATATTGAAGAAACATTTCTTTATCACATATGAATCATTTCATTATTAATATTATTAGAGATTCATATAATAGTAATATATATTCTTTTAATATTTCTTCCTACTTTTTACATATAACTCTTATAACCTTGAAAACCTGCTATACCTACTTAAAATATGCACACATATGAATACATATAAAACTTCCCTAAAATAATGGATAATCATGTCTATATTTGAAAACAATATATGGAGTGTTTTATTTTATTAATTTATATAAATATCATATTTAAATGATTTTTATAATTAATTTTAGATTCATCCATATTAAATTAACATGTATAAATGTTTTATGGTGTTATAAGTTCAGTATATAAAAAACATATATATTATAAAAATAAATTAAGGTTATTGTAATCTTTTATTGAATTTGAATATACCTTTCATGCATTATTTAGAGAATTGATCACCTATATATATATTATAGCATAGAAGTTTTTTATAATATTTAAATTTATATTTATTTAATCCAGTATGTTATTGATATAAGTATGAAGTAGAGATAATTATTGGACAAAAATCTGAATTACTAATTATTATTATATATAATCTCATAAACGTAAATTATAAAATCTGATAAATACAATGAAGTTTTATATTTCTCTAAAGTTATAATTTATATTACTTTATTATTTAATAAAATTTTTAGTAAAAGAACAACAAAATTTTCATACTTACGATTCATATATTAATGATATATAGTAGGTCTTTATATTTATTCTAGAAAATATTATTGTAAGAATTTATTTTATATTGAATATTAAATGAGAGATTTTCATTAAATAATATTTTATTCTAATTTAATATTTGATTTATATGCTTGATTAATACTTAAATTAAATGTTCATATGTAACACGAAAATATAGCTACAAAAATTAATTTATTCTTTTCCTCTAAAATATTATTATTTATACAATTATTTTTAAGTTATATTATAATGGGAATATTGAAAAAGCATAAGTAATATTCTAACCAAATTTAATTTTGTTTTTTTACATAACCATTTATAGACAGAGAAAAATTGTACAGAAAATTATTTCATAAAATATTATAGAAATACATTCTTAAAGCAATATATATTATTACATAAAAAATTTTATTAAAACGTAAATAATAAAGTGCAATGCATATTTTATCAAATATACTGTAAACAAATATATATACACTTATGATGTACTTTTTTATTCTATGAAGCAATTATTAATGCATAAGGGGAAAAATATTTTAACTTATAAAATAACAAAAACATTTACATTCAAATTATAATATATGTATATATTTTTCTTGTGATATAAATGAATATTTCTGATTTTTATAATCGTTTAGGAAGAAGTTATAAAATAGACAACAAATAATTACAACTAATATAACACATATATATTTAAAAAGAAATACGAAAAGAAATTTTCATAAGAATTCCTTAATTTATGTGTACTTTACAATTATTGTAAATTACATTTTCTTGAAGTGGATAGTACTATATATATTTTTTTAATAATAGTATGTGTTTTTAAATATAGTTATGTAAATAATATAATAATAACCTATAATATATTTTAAAATATACAGAACCTTAAGGATTCCCTATTTTACAAAATTACTAAAAAGGATATTTAATAAATATTTTGAATACAATTTTATATTATTTTCATACTTAAAAATATATAAATCAAATTCTTTAGCATATAATTGTGGACTGACATTATAACAAGAATACATTCATGAGAAATATATAATTAATGTTAAAATTTACATTACTATTATTAAAAAAAATATATTAATGATATACATTATAAAATAAAAGGAAAATTATAATGTATTCTTTCTTAAATTAAATTTTATAATGAATATGTCATGGAAATTTTGTTTTATTAAAAAATGAATTAATTTTAATTTTTTAAAGCATGAATTTGAAATTTATGATGTATATCATAAAATATGTGCTTTACTGTTTAAATTAAAAAATGAATAATTATTTTTCTTTAAAAAAATTCTTTTAATATGTTTAAATTAATACAATTCAAATTCATTATTTATTAAAATAAATAGGATTATTTTTAAATATTTACAAAATTCACAATTGCGTAATTTCTACGAAAAATTTAAGGAGAATAAAATGAAAAGTATAAGAAAATAATATTACATATTTTACAAGTGTGACAATAAGTAAATACATTCCTGAATTTATAAATAATTATTATATATTGGAATAATAATATCATATATATTTTTTTTGATTTACTACATAAATAAACGATTAATATCATATTTAAAATACAGTAGCTATTAATGTACACATAAAACTAAAATAATAATATATTAATATCTATATATAAGGTAATTTTATAAAGATATAACATCATGTATAAAAAATATATAATATACAAAATTTAATATGAATCATTTTGGGATTTTTTATTTTTATTGCGTTAAAAGATTACATTATTAATAACAATAATAAAACTTGATATATATGGAAATTAGAAAACGTATTAAAATTTTATTAATCATATAATTTATCCTATGATTAAATACGGGTAAATATAAATTTATATAAGAACTTTATTATAATTAATTCATTATAAAATGTATATATACATGTATAATATATATAGGAAAATATATATAAATATGTAAAAATAACATGTTAAATATTTTTAAGGGTATCGAATAATAACATATAAAAAAATGATATATATTATCATTATATATATATTAAATGTATGAAGAGATAATACATGTAAAATACCAAATTAATAATCGTGTGCTCCAAAAAAAATTAATAATATAAAACATTTATTATTATAAAATTTACACGTGCACATAAAACATAAAACAATGAAAAACCATATATATAAGAGCATTTCAAAATTATATAATAAAAACAATGTTAACAATAAATACATTATGCTTATATATATATATATATATTAATTATGTTGTGCAAATGTTTCAGAAATACACATGAAAAATATATCGATCCATATTAAATATATCTTTAAGAAAATATATACACATAAACATTATTTAGTATTTTATAATACAAAAATATTAAGTTCAATTAAATATTGTTAACTTATTATATTTATTTCATTTTATTGAAATATAATTCATATTAGAGGCACAAGTATATACCTATTATATATCATCATATTACATATAATAATGAAAATAAATAAATATTGAAAATTTTAATATTAAAATAAAAATATTAAAAGAAAAACCATTATTAGTCTTTAATATAGTATTTATTATCCTAATAAATTATATATATATTATTTTTTTCATTTTCGAATTATGTAAAAATAACCTAAATGGCGATAAACGATGTACACTTGCATTGTCATTATATACATCACACTATTGTGTTACTAGTATATTTCATCTTTCATATATGTTATAATAATTAATAGAAACATATATAGATATTGTCACACTATTATTTTATAATTTTTTATTTTAGTACGAACTTGTGAAATCATTTCCTGATTATAAAAAAATAATGGATCTCTTTGAGGATAAAGTGGATCCACTGTATATTGATAAATGCAATAATGTGGACATAGATGTTTATGGAACTTTTAAATCCAAAATTAAAAATAAATGTCCTCAAGTAATATCATATTTATATAATGTATATGAACAAAATAATAAAAATATTCCTGAAGTATATTGTAAATACTTGTCATATTGGATATACCATGATCTTCTTAATAAGAAATATGTGAATGGTATCACAATACTTTATCATTCGTTGATAGATGTGTTTAAATCTATTTACAAAGATGTAAATGTAGATATATTAAAAAGAATGTATATTAGTGATACGACATTAGCAAATATCACATCTTTATATGATATATATACTTGTCTTGGTATTATAAATGATAATCGTGGATATAAATATGACAAAAATTTCTGTAATGCAATAAAAGCTATTCAAGATAAAAATAAGGCAGAAATGGAAGCAAGATTTAGTGCACTTAGGGATCAGAATGTTGTACACACTTGCAAAAATAAAATTCCTTTTAGTATTATAATTACGCTTTTTATAATGTTCTTAACAACACTTTTATTATTTATTGTGTATAAGGTTCATTTTGATATTATATATATAATTTAAAAAAAAAAATTATAAATAATATAAAAATTAAGTAAATATATTATAATCAAATTTAATTTTGTATTATCATATTTTTTCTATAACTTAGTTCACACCATATGGTTCATACCTGTCTCATGAAATAAAAAAAATTAAAAAGAAATGGAAAAATATCCATGAAGCAAGTATTATAAGGGAGTCTTCAGAGATACCCCAATATAATTTAAATGATAAGTGCTATGATATATTGTATCACTGCGATTAATTTTACTATTATATATAACTCGCAAAGAATATTTGACCTGGTATTGTAAGACTGAAAAATTAGGAAAAACAAATATCTAGTATCAATTAATAAGCATTTATTTAATTTTGGTTGTATATAGAAGGTTATTCAGAAGACAAATAATTATATAAATTTTATTTAAAAATGTGTAATGAATCGAGAGGTTTTTTTTAAATAGCACACAAGGAAATATATTTTGATAATGTGAACAAGGAATTCATATATTTAAAAAAAAATAGCCAAGAAAACTTTGTTTTTTATGTACATATTTTTAAAATATAGAATAGCACATTTATAAAATTATTTTTGATAATATATATTATGTTAATTATGTTGTGGGTAATAATGAAAATCACATTTGTGATATATATATTAAAGCTTGTATTATTATAAAATTTATATATTTCTATTAATACCATATTAATTTTATATATAAAGAGGCGTTTGTATGAATTTATTTGGTAAATAGAATTATATAATTTTTTTTAAAAATATCACTAATAAATGATACCTTATTAGTGAGTCTACTTAATTTAATTATTAAATGCATCAATAATTATAATAACTTTTCTAAAGAACATTCGTGTATATTAGTGAATTAGATAAGAAATATATCACAAGTATATTTGTATATTTTAATATTAGTATATTGTGTACTAAAAATTATAAATATTTATATTTTAAATATATATATTTGACTCCAGTTTTATTAACTCTATAATATACTTAGAAGTAATTATATATTAATTCTATATATTAATTAAATGTATAAAGTAATATGATACAACATGTTTTGTGTATAATTGCAAATATTCATGTTTTATAAATGGGATTTCAGCAGTTATTATAACTTTAGTTTTCTATTTTATCATACTTTTTTATCGAAAAGTATCCATTAAATAATAGGATAAAATAATATTAACTTAAATATATCGAAATATTTTAAAAAAAATTATATATATCAATATGTATAATATTGTAATAACATGTTAATACAAATAATTAATAAAACGTATATATTAAAATTTAAAATATTATTCAGTTTTTATATTATATATAAAATAAATATATACATTATAATAGAATAAATAATTTATATTTACAATGAAATATTATGTTCATAGGAATATGAACAAGACATTTTGAAAATATTGCATATAATTTTTAACACAACATTTATTTATTTACTTTTAAAAATTTTTAGTAGGTGCATAAAAAATTATTCTTCAAATATAACTAATTAATTAATAGTATTATAAAGAATACTATTGAATAAAGATTCAGCATAATAATTTTCATATTTTTGTGCTGATCAATGAATTTTACATCAGCTATGATTATAGTTATTAATTTTTCTGCTTTTTTATTCTTCTTTTGAAAATAACTTCAATGTAATTTTAATATAACTTTCAATGATATAAATTACATAATTCAATTGTTAATATTCTGTAAAATATTATATTTTTTAATACTTTTTCTAAGGAAACAATTAATATTGCTACTGAAAAAATTACTGAAATATGGCAAACATTTATGAGATATTATGTAAAATATAGATTATATATGATATATAGAACCAACATTCTAAAACAAATTAGTATGTTTGTATTTATAGAATTCATGTTCATCAATGGATTCGTTAATTTGATAGCACATATAACACTAAACAAATGTTAAAAAATTTTAATACGCAAATTATACATTTATTTTGAATTCGTCAAAAGAATATAAAAGAAATTCTTTACATAGGATCTAACTTTTTATAAATTCAAAAAATATATAATTAATAAAAATCTAGGGGGGGATTTCTAAAATTCATTTTCAATTAAATATTCATGATTATTTGTTTAACATTACACTATTTTCCTTTTATACTTCATGGAGCATATGTTATAATTTAGTATGTAAATCATTATATTAATTCAGTTATAAAAATATTAACCACTAAATAATTAAATTGAGCAATAATATATTTTTTATTTTTAGAAGATTACCCATTATAATTTTTATGTGATATATTTAACCAAAAATATAATCTCTATTAACTTTAGCCATTTTCTGAAAAAGTAAAAGCGCCCACGGAATTCTATATCTAACACTACAAAATCATTTAATGATTTAAGTATAATAATGAGGCTAATTATATATATATACTATTATATTTACCATATAATATAGTTTTCAAATTGTACTTTTTTATAAAATGATGTATCAAAATTTTCATCAAACATTCGAAGTATTCCTATTAATATGAAATATTTACATTATTCATGATTCCTCAAAATTTTTTATACTTTTCCTCATAATTCATTAAAAACATCCCTTTATATTTTCTTGACCTTTTTCCAGTATTTATTTTTTTTTTCCCGTGTAATGATTTTTAGTAAAATGTTTAAATAGTACTTTATTAATTTAGTCACACAATTATTATTTTATGAATTCATTTACTTTATAATCAAATGAGATATAAGTAGGTTTATATTATAATCCATTATTATATATCTTCTTGTCTTACATTTAAAAATATTGTAATTAATTCTGTTAGATCCAGTATATATATTTTATACGCACTATATCAGTGCTATTTTATTAAACACAAATATATTTTACATATTATGCATGTAAAAGAATTACATAAAATATGCTAGCTATTTTTCATGAATGAAAAAATAATCCTTATATATATTTTTACATCTTAAGTATACTTAGTTTAATATGATTATATTTTAATTTAAATCATATAGAAATTCATTGACGTGAAAAACACTCTATAGCAAGAATGATCATAATAAACAAAAATACGCGTCACCATGTGTTGCAGATATAATAAAGATTTTTATTTATAAAGTACAATGCGATAACAGAATTTAATATACATAATGTGCTAAAAGTACACATAATGTAAAATATTATATATTATGTAAAGATATAATTATTAATTTGTAATAAATTAATAATATCTTGAATTATCATTTATTATAGCTTATAACAGTAATTATTTTATTTTCTCACTATAAATAAAATATTAAACAAATTAATATTTTTGATGTACTATTATTAGAGGCGAAAATATATATTACAGTACATTTTTGTAAATTAAATGTGATGGATTTTATAGTTATATAGGTAGTTTATAACTCATATTGTGTCAAAAAACCTTTCAAAATAAATTAGAAATAAGAACATGGAAATAATAATTATAACTTTGTGTGCTCAATTATAAAAATAAATGTTAATGCTGTTATACTTTTGTATTTATGCCAAAAAAAATAAACATTGATGATATTACATAATATATTTAATATTATATAAAATTTATATGATATTTTCAGGAAGTATATAACAATTGATATAATGAACAAAAAACAAAATAAAATAAATATATTGTAGGTAATAAGAAATTATATTATATTTTAAGACAACAAATGAAAATAAGGTTTAATATAAATTTTGTATATAGAAAAAATTATTTTCTATTTATTAGGCTATTCCATGATTAAATATGTATATTCTTTCATAGAATATATAATAAAACATTAGAATTATAAGATATTCATAACCATATAAGAAACAATTAATTGTTAATATTTTATTATTTAATTCATATATAAGAAATAAATAAATAACCCCATTACACGGTTAATAACACATGTATTTAAATAAACAACGTATAATATATATATATATAACGAGAGATATATGAAACATACATATAATTATAGTTTTAAATTTTGTTGTATCATATATACACATTACAAAATATTTATAATATGAATGCCTTTTTGAATCATAGTTTATGAACCAAAAACTAAAAAAAATAAAACATAATAAATGGTATTATTAAATGTTTACATAATTTACATAAGATAAACTAAATTATTTAAAATGAATCCATTAATAGAATGCTATTAATCTGAAAAATATAGGTTCATATAAATAATACGTACAAATACTTGAAAATATAAATGTATGAATGTGTCATAAATAAATACTTTAATATACATTCCTCTACTTCTATTTATAAAAATAATTGGTGACAAATATATACTACAAGTTAATTAATTTATTGTATTAACTTATACATCACTTTAATTATGATAAAAAATAAATATATTATTATAAATTTTCTAAAAATATGAGTGTCTTGCAAAATTAAAATAACTTATTAGCCCTTTTAACACTATAAATATAGTATAAAACAATTTTTCTTTCTTTCGCTAATAAGAAAATTTTTTATCCTTACTCATGATTAAGATTTTATCATATATTAATATATGTTTATATTTTTGCAAAAATATGAAATATAATAATCATTAATATTTAGACATGTAACTATTATGTAATGATTATTCTGTTATTCATAACACATATATGTTTATAGCAAAATATATATGCATATTTTGTAGAAATATTCATATAAATATAACACAAGATTTATCAGAAAATTGAGGATTCAGATATATGCTATTATCTGTTATTTATATCTTATTTTATATTGATTAGTTTTAATATAGCTTATATATGAGATGCACCAAAATATGTATTCTTAAACTTTAATTTAAAACTATTCTTTATATTAAGATTTTCCTTTATACGAAGACTTCAAGGAAATAGATACATCATATATATATTAATATAATAAGCTACCGAAATATATGATTCTGGACAAAACACAAATTCATTTAATAAATGATATAATTAAATAATTATATGCAGAAAAATAAAAAATGTGGCATATCATATGCATTTTCGCTCATATGTCAATAACAGGGCCGTTATATACACAATATTAACAAGAAAAACATGATTTAAATGTTAAAAACAGGATCTGCAAATGTTTCTATTATATTATAAAAGAATAACTAATGAATTTTTATTGTAATATTGAAAGCACCCTGGATGCTTACCTAAGAATGATAGAGATTAATATTAAGCAAGCACGGAAATGAAACATATTTCTTGATGTATTCACAGATAGT